AGCGCAAGGGAGGATTCATACTTCTTTTTTTTATAGTTGGGAGAGAAAATTTCATACAATAAGGATACAACTTTTAAAAATTTTAATTAAAAATACGTCACCTTATTTAACTTACCGAATAAAAGAAAAGAAAAGAATAAAAAATGGGATGTGTTTGCAGCGCAAGGGAGGATTCATACTTCTTTTTTTTTTTTGTTTTTTGAACAGATTCTACGATGGGCTGGATTCGAAGCGCAGCTTGGGGAGGGAGAATGCACCACGGGTAGTTATTGCCACTTGGTTTAAAGGGTTCGGTGTGATTCATACTTCTTTTTTTTATAGTTGGGAGAGAAAATTTCATACAATAAGGATACAACTTTTAAAAATTTTAATTAAAAATATTATATTTTTTCTTTGTTAATAGATAAAAAAATTAAAAATATTATCCTTATTTATACAAATCTCTTGGGAGAAGTCATACTTCATTTCTTCATGATCAACAAACTGGCCTTAATATTTTATTGATGTTTGAGAGGCTGCTGAGCAGCAAATCACAGAATTCACAAATCACATACCTCCTTATATGAACAAAGCCAATTGGAACATCTCTTCTTCTTGTTGGATAAGCTTCAACATCATCACCCACCTATTCCAACTCCATAAATTACCAACCCCTTTTCAATTTGCAAAATATATGATCTCTTAAATGTTTATTCTTACAATTTGTGAGAGGTACAGGCAGGTATGATGTCTATTCTCTTACTTTGAAATTATATTCTCTTGCACATCAATTAATGCATTTTTTTTTATTAAGTTTAGCTCTTTTTTATGTTCAAAATTAATTATTTAATATTACAAAAGTTTAAGTCTCTAACTTTGACTCAAAAATTAAAATTTTATGATTAGTTAATATTAATTTAGGTCAATTTCTTGTTAGTTAATTTTAAATTATTAATATTTTTACAATTTATTTATTTAACTTAACTCAAGCTCTCAATTAATAATAAGTCTCCAAGTAATTATTTATTTATTTGGCCCTAAGTACTCAAAGGATAAAAGTTTAAAATTCAACTAAGGGATGAGAGATTTAAAACGTCATACTAGTGGAAAAGATTTAAGAAAGAATAATATTTTCTGTTATAGTCCATTATATATGGTCATCTGTATAAAAAAAATATTTATTTAATTTTTTTATATTATATTAATTTAATTTGTAAATCACCAAAAAGAGTAAAAATAAATAGATTCCTTTCCGATCCAAACCCTAAAACTTCTTAAATGATAAGACAAATATAATGCCAGATATTCAAAAGTGCAGCGGTATCATCAATCAAAACCAGAATAACTTTTTGCATCAAAAAAAAAAAAAAAATCAGAATAACTTTTTGGTAAACAAGACCAGACACCCCGAATTGATGGATCAAAAGCGACCATTTCAATTCGGTTCAAGAGAAAATAAAAGAGAAATATTCATATAAGAATACAAATTTTATTTTTTTTATTAAAAGGTATAAATTTTTTAATTTTTAAATTAAATTATAAATTTTTATTTTTTTATGTTTAAGAATACAAATTTTATAAGTTATCATATTTTAGGTTAATAACTTTATCCACTTTAATTAAAGTTACCATTTATTACATCATTATTACTGTTCTTAAATAAAAATAAGATAAATTTTTCATTTTAAATTAAAAAAATATGTGCAAAGTTTGTATATTTATTTAGAAAAAATAT